CTGTTTTATATGCTGAGTTCTGGATCAGTAGGGGGACTAGGTAGGAAAGCACTGCAAAGAGGGTCTCTGTGCTCCTTTAACAGCCAGGATTTCTGTGGGATTGAAAACTACAAATAAAGAGACGCGTTTCACGAAAGGAGCAGAGGCTCCAGGCAGCTCAGAGGCTGGGACAGGAGGAAGAGCGGCTTTTCAGGAGTGCTGCCTCTCTTGCCAGCCAACTGCTCCATGGGCTGCGGGCCAGGCTGCCCTGCTGCCTGAGAGTTCAGAGATTCTAGCTTGTGTGGACTTCTTACCCTTTTCTCTCTTCCTTTCTCAGATCCTGCGATTGTCAATGGAGTCTACTGGTCTGAATCCCTAAACAAGGTCTTTGTAGATAATTTTGACCGTGACCCATCTCTCATATGGCAGTACTTTGGAAGCGCGAAGGGCTTTTTTAGACAGTATCCAGGTGAGTATCACTGTGTTGACCACCATGATTCCGACTGATGGTCCTGTGATATTTTTCCTTAAATGCAGGGTTAAAAGTTTTTGGTCTTTCCCTTGGAAGGAAATGAAAGATTAGGTTTTGTTGTTAAGGTTCAGGGAGGAAAAAATTCAAGTGATATTTGTATATGCCTGTGCATACACATGTTTGCACACACGCACACACATAACTATCACAGAACTCTCAGGACCTGCCTGTAGCTTCAGCATCTTTCTCAATAGAGAAATTCATAGAGCTGCAATCAAAGCTGAAAAACTGGGGTATGAAAGGCCCCCTATTACACCTCCTAAATGAGAGTTTGGTTTTCTTCCTATTGTTGCTACTATTCTGATAATTGTTTTCTAGGGGAAAGAGCGAGTTATATGTGGGCAGGGTCAGGTTCTAACTGAAAGGCACAGGGAACGGAGGACTGGAGCTTGGTGTCGCTTAGCCCAGAGCAGCTCCCCCTGCGGGTGGAGATAAGTGGCCAGCGTGCTGCGCCTGGCATCAGCACTGCCCAAGGCTGCTGCAGGGGTGCATGTGTCCAGGATGCCATTCGAACAGGTGTTTCTTCTGGGGCTGCCCTAGGCCTCGGCTTTGCAATACAATTTTAATTCTGGTTTGGTTTGAATTTTAATTAAAAAGGGAAGTTTTAATTTTGCTTACAAGTTGTGAAAACAGGACTCGAGGCTACAATTGTGCCAGCGTCACAGCTGTAGAAATTAACTAGCTCAACCTAAAAGAAGAGGAAAAAAAAAAAAAAAAAAAACCAAAACACCCTGCATAATCTTGGAGCAATTAAGTGGCGTCTTTTATGTTTTCATTAAGTAAGGCTAGGCACCTGATGTCTTCCCTGTCTGTGGCTTGGAGATAGCTGGCTCTGCCGTGGGAGGCTGTTGACCCTGCACATGGCGTCTGTGCACTGAGACTTTCCTGCCGGGGGGTCTGCTTTGCCAGCTTTTTCTCTATTTCCCTAGAGTTGTGTCTAGCAAGATACACACGCTTCCTCCTGGAGCTCACGGAAACTTAAGCAATGAGCATCCTATTAAGATAAGATTGTAGTAACAGGGACTATTAAAGTTACAGTGTTGCAAATTGCAGTCTGCCTTGATGGCACTCAGAGAAAAGTTGATGCAGATTTTGTTCAGGCTGGAGACTGGTGGGGAGGCTGGCCTGTGTAGCAAGCTGCTCACCACCTAAGTCATCTAACCATGGGGCATTGTCCCTAAACTAGAGCCACAAGGCATTGGAAAACAAAGGCAGTCTTCATAAAGGATTTGTCTACTAAGAAAAGTACAGTTAATCTGTGTCCAAGGCTCTTATTGGTCAGAACAGGTTGGTCAGAAATGTTTATGGTCCTCTTATAACATTTTTTGGCAGCATCCTGACTGCATCTTTTCTGTATCCCAAAAGACAAGTAATGCAGTCTTCTACAGTACTTTGTTGCCCTGGTAACTGGCTCACAGAGTACCCCTCTTGCCGGCCTTTCATAATGTGATTTCACAAGTGATCGCGAAACATTTTACTAGGATGTATTTTGCATCAGAACCCATCATTTGGTGGCTAGAGTACTATCCCACTGAGAATCAAGGGCGAATGTGGGTATCCTGAGGCAAAATACACCTTCATTCTTATGTGAGTGTATCCTTAGTCTTGGCTTTGCACCAAGTACTGTGTGCAGACCTGTGGGTAGAATATCCAGTTCCTCAACCTGCGCTACTGGGAAGTGCTCTCTTATAGGAGAAACATGTTTCTCAGGGACTTCATTTGCAAGTAACGAAAACAGAATTCTGATGACTCCAGGAAGAAACTCACCTAGAGTCCTGTGTGATTTGAGCTCTGTGTGGTACTCTGGGACACACAGAGCTCAAGTCTTGGATTTGGATCTCTCCTTCCATCTCTCATTTCCTCCTTCTTCCACTTTTACCTTGTTTCACCCATAGTGGTCAGCTCAGGAGGAAAATCTATAACTATAAGCTTGCAGAATTTCTCCATGAGGGCCCCAGAGAGGATAGAGGATGTGTTAAAATAGTTTAGACAAAAAATATCCAGTGATTGTCCTGCTCTAGGTCAGATGCCCACCAGTGCAGCCAACAGGTGGATAGTGGGCATGGTCAGCCTTATCATTCCAGGAGTACCAGTCAGGATTACTGTTTTCTTGAGTGTAGAACCCCAAAGGAGGATGCATCAGTGACCACCCTGGAAGAAAATATGAATAGATCATATAAAACGCAGGGCGTTTTATACTGAGTTGGGAGGAGTAAGAGCTACTAGAAGACTACTCAGAAGATACACCAACTGTAAGGACTGTGGGCACAAGTTCCTCCAAGCAGAATTTTAGTAGGTGTTGGCCTGGGAGCTTGCCTGTGACAATTGTCTGTACTCACACCCAAGCCTCTCCAAGTTCAAGTCACAGCACATGAACATGCAAGAACTCTTGTGCTGCCTGGAACTTCACAGGAGGTGCCTCTGGTATTCATGTCTTAGAACTTTAGAACGTGCTTGAGATGCCAGCCTCTGGTCTTCTTCCTATGGTGTGTAGACTGTGATGTAGCCACATAGCTTTGTTTCCTGTAGAACTTCCCAGAGAACGCACCCATAGAAATGCCTGCATAAGGAAGACTGTGAGGGCCTGGCAGTGCAGAGAATAGGTCTTAGTCCTAACTTTGGTTCAAGTGTTAGCTTTGGAAAGATGACCCCACAGGCCTCATCCATTCCTGATGTCCAGGGAAAGTGTGATGTTTATTATTATATTCAGTGCAGTTGTGCCTGGAGCAGCCTCGGGGTACGGTCTCCATCATACCTGATGTGTACCTCATGTCCTGACCACCAAGGCACTAGGCCTCTTGGTTTGGTTTCAGCTGCTGGGCAGCTCCTGTACTCCAGTGTGGACAGCCATGCCAGAAGTCCTTGTCCTTCAGTTGGATGGGCTCCTTCCACCCTCAGGGTCCCATTTTTCTCTCTGCTGGGATATTTGCTGGTCTGTTTCCATGCCCATCCCACCCTTATTTTCAAGAAAACAATCTAACTTTTCCTAGGTTTATACAACAAAGTATGTGAGACAGGTTTTAAATAAATCGCATTCTTATTCTTTATTGTACAATATCATGCCTATTGTATTTCATCTTTATGACTTAGTAACCTTCCACTGGCCATTTCTTACACTCCTGTTTTCTAATTCCTTGAGGGGAGCTCTTTAAGGTGAGTACCAGGCAGGCATGATAGGCGCCACTCATCTGCAGTGCCAGAAACCTGAGATGGGAAGATTACAAGCTTGAGCCCAGCCTGGGCATTTGAACAACTTAGACTCTGTCTCCAAATAAGAAGTGCTGGGGAGCAGCTCACCTCAAAGGTCCTAGGTTCAATCTCCAGCACTAGAAAACAAAATAAAAATAAAGTTATCCCATGTGCTTATGGGAAATATGGGTACTGGAGGGTGTGAGAGAACTTCCTTTGTGGCACTATCCACCATCTCGAGGCCACCGGAGCTTAGCACATACGCTCTTAACAATATCTTAGCAAGGTGCAAAACTCTGGTGCCCTTAATGGGAAACCAGACACACTCAGTATCATAATCCAAGCAGGGTTTTCTCCTATGAAAATAACTTCTTGCTTTTTATTTTCTTATCTCCAATGTCTATATTTCAAATCCTCCATCTCTGAGCAGCGCTGATGGTTGAAAATGATTTTCTCACTTACTGTAAAGCAGAAAATGTTCTCTTTCAGTGAAATTTTATTCTGAACATTAAGTGGTAAATAGATAAGGTCACCCTGGATGCACCCTCACCAGTTTGCAAACTGCAAGTCTGAGGATGCCGGATTCAATTTTGTTCCTAGGGAAAACTTCATAGGGTTTAGAGACTGAAATTCTAACTCTATTATGCAGCATAATTGCAGCCATTTTATTTCATTTCAGTGTAGAAATCCAGGTTCCATTTCTGATTTTAAAAACAGAAGCAAGGAGGGAACAGTCCTGTGTATATTCTGAGTCGGAAAAATGGTATCGTATGATATCTGCCTCCCACCCCACGCTGTAGACATTATCTCACCTGCGTCCAGGGATGGGGCCAGATTTGGCCCAGAGTTTTCTAAATGATGCCATCTGCTCTAACTTGTGGACTAGTGAGAAACTGCTTTGGATAAGGAACGGGGCTGCGGTCAGGCCCTCTCTGGGCAGAGAAGGCAGCACTAAAGGTGTTTCCACTCCTTCGAACTCTGGAGCAACTAGGCTGAGCCTGTATTCACGGTGGGCTTGTGACCCAAAGGTGCCTGCCCGGAGCTGGTTGTGGAGTTTCTGATCAGCTCCATGGCTGGTCTCTGCATGTGATTTTTCACTCTGTCCATTCAGTCAATAAACAAGAACAAGCTTGAAATGCTATGAATAAATATTTGAAGTTTCTGGGTTTCTCATAACCCCATTTTTCTTCTAGGGATTAAATGGGAACCAGATGAGAATGGAGTCATTGCCTTTGACTGCAGGAACCGAAAATGGTAGGCAGTAGTCACATCCCTTAGTTATTTCTCAAAGAGAAAATTTGAAGAGAGGCCAGGATCCTTTTTGACTTAATTTTCTTCTGACCTAGGTACATCCAGGCAGCGACTTCTCCAAAAGACGTGGTCATTTTAGTTGACGTCAGCGGCAGCATGAAAGGACTCCGTTTGACTATTGCAAAGCAGACAGTGTCATCTATTCTGGATACTCTGGGGGATGATGACTTCTTCAACATTATTGCTGTGAGTGTGGCTGTTGTGCGTGTTCTTGGCACTTTGGGTTCATTTGATCTTTAGCACCAGCCAGGTAGCAGTGTTACTGCTTTTGGCCAAGGGATGAGAACTTGGGTAGCCCCAAGTTGGCCCATGGAATTGTACACAGTGCAGGGTTTGCAGAGGCCAGAGTGCACTGAGAAAGCCCAGCTCTTCCAACACAGCACACAGCCCCACTCATCCAGAAGAGTGGCCCCAGGTTTGATGTCTCAGGGAACTGGGCTTACAGAGCCTTGGGGAATGGACCTAGCATTTCAGAGCCCTAGAGGAATGGAGCTCTTGCTTAAAATTCTAGACTTTCTTACATGGAAATGAACTTTAGGCCAGATTCTCCCAGTGACAGTCATGATGATAACGATCATCAAGATAAAATAAGTTAAATATGGAGAGTTGTTCACACCTTGTAATACTTTATCTCACCTTCAGAAACAAAGGTGCATTTATTAAGTGCTAGATGTGTACCTCACTCTTAATATTTGCATTGCCTTTTCCCTTATACCAACTCCAGGAGGAGATTAAGGGCTGGTTTTGGCATTTTCTCAAAAGGTTGACATGGACACGGTGTCAGTGAAATCCTACAGGGTCACAGGGGACCAAGGTAGGCAAGCAGAGACTGGGCAGTAACTTCTGGCCTGCAAAGAGGTGCTCTCAGATTTCTACTCCAAATGCTTTTTTCTTCTTTTTTCCAGTTCTTTGCTATGATTCCCATTGTGTGTCCTTCCCGCTCTCTTTCCAAAGTCATAATGAGCCTGACTCTTTTCCCATAGTGGGGTGCCTCAGTAGGTGCTTGTGTGTAGTAGACACTTGTCTTGGCTCTCGCTGGTCTATTTGGGACATGGAGTGGTGGCGGTAGGCAACAGAGACTGTGTGGTGAGGGCCACAGAGCTTGGGCTTAGAAGTTAGTTATGTCACACAGAGTGTCTTGGTGGAAAACTACCTTAAGCAGAATAACAGGGCGCTCAGCTGGGAAGCAGGGTGTGCTGGGGGATGTACCTGCCCGGACCTGTGCACAGGACTCTTTCTGCCATGGTAGGATAGGAATATTGTTGCTGCTGTCTGTGTGACATCCCTCAGTCCTTCAGCAGGCTGCATCATCAGGACTGCCTGCTGCGTGAGGATGCCCATGTGGTGCCCACAGCATTCTGTAGCCAGAGGGCACGGGTGTCTCAGTGACCTTAAGGTTATGTGGGCTGTTGCCTCAATGTCCTGCCTACAGGTTTCTTCTGGTGGGAGTCTCAGGACAGAAGGGGACAACTTCAGGGCATCGTACAACTTCAGGTTTTACAGAGCCTTAAAGAGGAAAAGGTAGAGAGATTATGATATTCTTTCTACACAGAGGTTAGTGCTGCTCAGTCACTTGTGTCTCCCCAGCACCTAGAAGCTAAAAAGTGGGTGGAACGATACACGGCTGCATTCCTTCCTCAGTGCTTACGGTGTGAAGACCGCTCACAGGGTGAAGACACTGCTGTGCATCCTCTCGTTTATCTTTTAGACTCTCCACCCAGCTCTGTGTGTCTGCATTCAGACAGAGGCAAGTGGCAATGGTGACTGGCACATGTCACACAGCCAGGAAATTTGACCCTCTGTAGTCTCAGATCTGTGGTTTTACTGTGCAGCAAGTAGAGAGAATGTTACTGGTCTCCTCAGCCAACTACTATGAAGTGATATGATCTGGGGCAGTTCTTGGGAAAGAGGCTCAACTAGTGACAATTTGCTGTTTTCTTATAGGGAAAAGTTACTGCAGTTGCCAACCCTCTTGGGAATATGTAAATTCAATTGGGTCCCACATATCCGGGAGCGCTCACAGATAAGACGTGGCTAATTTGAGACTATCTTTCCTATTAATCTTTAAATACTCATTACAGAAGTATCAGGAATTCGCATAATAAGAAGAGCTAACTAATTACATTGTGCATCCTTTATCAGCGGGATTTATTATTCTGTTAACAAAACCAGTTGATCGCAATAATTTATGTAAGTTCATTAAGATACGAACAGTGTCAACTTAATAATGATGACAGAGGGTGATTCCGATAATTAAAAAGTCATGCCAGTTATTATGGGACAGTTAAAGAACTTTTTCTTTCCCCCCAGTTGTCCCTTTATAGAAAAAAAAAAAAAACCAAAACAAACATTGGTGGTCCCATTAACCCTCACCATACATCTGTTCGTTAATATTCAATATAAGTCATGAGCTCAAAGACTATTTACATAATTATGGTGACAACTAGAAAGACTCTCTGAACTTTTTAATTCGAAGCCTATAAAGGCTTCTATTATACAGTAGAATCCTGAACTCTGTTCCCCTAAGATGTAAGGAACTGGACCAGATAGATTAATGAATTTATGTTAGAAGATCAAGATCATAAAGAAGCCATTAAGTAACAGCAATTTTCACATTGATTACTTTTTAATGTAAGCAACATATGTAAGAATTTTAAACAAGTCAGACACACTTGCATTCCCCTCCCATTTGGCACATAGTCTTATAAATTTTTTTTAATAAGCACCTATAATCTTTCTATAAAAATAGAATCATACCTTACAGAATATCTGGCAACTTTTCTATATGTTACTGTTGCCATGAAATGCTTTGAATTGCTGGTCTTCCACCACATATAGTCTATCCTTTATCTACAGGATAACTCGCCCTCCACTGCTCAACATTATGATGTTAAGCATCTGTTTTCCACTCATAGTGCTTTGGTGCTTGGATTCTTCTGTGCATGGAGTGCACCAAAGAAATCCCATCTATGTTTGCAGTGTTGATTATCTCTCTGTCAAATAAAACCTGAAAATGCAATTGTATCAAAAGGTATATCCTGAAGTTCCCTAGCATGCGCAGGAGGCAGGGTAGAGTGTCTACACAATGCATTGACTAATAGGTAGAGGATCCTAAGTAATAGGAAATTCACATGTGACCAGATTTCATTCGTCTTCCATAACCTCCCTCTTTCATCTTTCAGTGCAGGTTACCAGTGAGACTCTCTTGCTTTTGCTTCCTGAATTGTCATTTTCTTCCATAACCTCTTCCTTGCATCTTATTGTTAGGTCTGAACCCACACAGTCAACCAGACCAGGCATTCTGACATGAGTAGAAGATTTATTGGCGCATCAAGCAGGCTAGCTGTCTAGCACACCAAGACAACAGTGAATAAAGGGGGAACAGGAGACTTTAAAGGATCTGTTAGTGAGGGTGATCATGGACTGGAACAGCTGAGGGAGAGCTATTCTTGGAAGGACTACCAGGTCTGTGGGGGACCTTTAATGTTCACAAAGGAGAGTTTCATGGTTGCTTGCCCGGGTCAAAGTCAGGTGGACATGTTCTGTGGTTTTGGGTTTGGCTCTGTGTGTGGCCAAAGGGGAGAGAGTCTTGGGCAAGGCTTTCTGGGAAACCAAGAGGGAGAGAGTGTCTGGGGCAAGGTGACTGGGAAACTTTGAATCATCCCAGACTCTATTTGATAGAAAAATGTCAAAGAAATCATCTGGCTACTTCCTGCTGAGCGGGGGTGTCATGGGGCCCAGAGTCTGGAGATCCGAGTGAGGAGTTGCCTTCATTGAAGGGGTCTCATTGGAGCAAGGCCTGGTAGGGCCTGAGAGAAGTGTTTAAAATTTTGGGTAATCTGGTGATAGTATTGCAGATAAGGGAAATGAGGCAAGGGGTATCATGAGCATAATAGCAAGCCCTATGAGGGTCCCTAGAAGGGGAGCAAGCCAAAGGAAGATGGAGTTTTATGTATTGAGGTATCACACAGAAAGAGCTGTGTGTCTATTTTGTATTGTTTGTCTGGAGGTGTGTTGAATGGGGTTTGGTGTAAGGGAGGCCGCTGGACAGGTGTGTACCTGTTTGGTACATCAGGATGGCTGTGGGATCGGGCCTCAGAATGGACATGTACCAGCAACACTTGTTGAGGTTGGTGGTCTGGGTAGAAGCAATAAGGGAGTCTATGATCCGAATGTGTCATTTTCTCATGACCATGTTGAAGGGGAGGAGTAAGAATGTGATAAATGATGGGCTTGAATCTCCTCTGATGTTTGTGATTATTGGGTATTGGGGAATGTAGGGAAAAGCCATGGAATCTCTGAGGTACACCAGTGTAGGAATAGCATGTGTGGCATGAGTGGGACTGGAAGAGTCTCAGAGTATTGGTCGACGAGGGAAGGGGGAGGGAGGACCGGGCTGTACGTTGAGGTTAGGTTTATAGGACGAGCACTGTGGGAAGAGAGGTGAGAGATACATGGAGCTTTTGGATGAGACCTCTCCCCATGAGAGGTATGGAGTAGGTTGGATTTATAAGGAAATTATGAGTGAAGAACAGTGTCTGGAGTGAGCAGGGAATGGGCCTGTCTGGAGGCGTCCTGTAGGTCGGCCATCAGCGCCCAGTATAGAGACTGTAGATCTAATACAGCAACTTCTGAACTCATGAAGAATACTATATATGGTGTCCGTATCAGCAAGAAAAAGATTTTTTTCCTGAGATGTCCAGTGAGACTTGGAACTCTGACAAAGATACCTCAGTGTGGGCCATGGACCCCAAGCTCTATTGTTTCTCTTCAGTGGCAAGACCAAGCAGGCCAAGTATTGATGGATCTGGCTGTGGTGAGTTTTCCTGTGAAGGCAGGCAATTGGATGACTTTCCTGCTCTCTGGTGGACAGGGCAGTCACATTTCCAGTGACCCTCGAGCTTGTGGATGGAACCATGTCTGCAAGTTGGGACAGACTCATGCCCAATGTCTTTCTTTGCTGCACTTGAAGGAAGAACTCAGGTGGCAGCATTGTTTAGGTTCAGCTTTACCTTGTTAAGATCTTACTTTGATGGGAGTCCCAAGTGTCACAGCCAAAAGTTGGCACTTGTATATAGTTAATTTTGGTCTCTATTATTGAAAACATGGAAAGTCAGATTAAGTAAGTTTTCTTGTGAGGCTTGAGGGCTGAGATTTGTCTTTTTAGGTTGGCATGACTGTCAGGA